GAGGCGGCCCACATAGTCACAAGTGTATGTCAAATCCCACAGCACCAGCAGACTTTCGGAGCTTTTTAGGAAGGCGCCCATGCTCACGAGACCTTCAGCTTTGCGCTTCTGATTGGTTTGGTCTATGCATGCGACATCCAAGAAAACCTTCTTGCGTCTCTTCCAAATGAGAAGACCAACGAGGTACCCCAGGGCACCGGCCGGTGTGCACCACACACAGTCAACCCCTTCTCTGACAGCCGTTGCTGGCAGGATTCCAGCAATGTAGAGGCAAGCAGCTGTCAAAGAGAATAAGATCCCCACGAAGAATGCCGGCAAGCCGTTGTTCAAGTATAAGACGCAGCGGTACTTCAGCAAGGGGCTGGTTCTCCAACTATGGGACCAAAACTGAGCTAGCTCTGGAGTTCTCTGCGAAAGGGAGTAAAACTGTCCCCTGCCTCTGCGCAGACAACCTCCACGGAGTATCTTCAAGGCCTTGAAGACGGGTATTCCCCGAATCACTTCAGGTCTCGTGGGCTCCATGGCCACCAGCTTTTCCTCGAAAAATTGTCTCACTGACTGTTTGGAAGCCTCAGCTTGGTGCTTGGTTTAGGGTTTATGGCTTAGGGCTTAGGGTTCTTGATCCCGGAAATGCCCGCAAGCCCTTGACCTGATTCCTGTAGCCTAGGCCATTAGACCCCAAACTCTGCACTCTAGCCCGACTTACCCAAACACAGATGTACATTGCAACCCCCTCAGTCCTGAACCCTTCAGACATTGATCCTCTTGGCCAAATAACATCTGCAGCCGCCTGCTGAGTTGCTGGAATGGTCTCTGCATCTGCAGCCGCCTGCTGAGTTGCTGGAATGGTATCACGCTCGCTCGGCACTCCCATGCACACCTCTGAGCCCTCAGCCGCCATCCCCGGCCGTTTAGGATCTCGCAATACTTGACTTGTGTGTGCACGTGTGCTGTTGTCCCGTTTGGGACTTGAGCTAGAAAACTTGCAGTGTACGCGGCGGAGTTAACAAAGCGCGAAACCCTTCCGATTTTGGCTCCGGAAAAATTCTCAATGAGAAGAGATAATTTGGAACACGCCCTGTGGGGCAAATCCTGGAAGAGATCAGAGTTTGTGGGTTTTGCGCCATGATGACGGCCCTTGAAAGATTCCTCGCTTCGTGCTTGCGTCACGATTCCCTGTAACAGGCCATATCAAAAACACACACAATGCAGCAAAGAACGCTGCGAGCCTGACTGGCGTTCCCACATGACCTTCCTGGCTTCCCCTCCACCAGAAAAAAGCAGCTGCCGTTACGACATCACATACTAGCCAGTTGCAAGCCGTCCAGGTCTGACGAGACCATGCCAGTTTGAGGGGTATAACCTCCTGCTTCCAATGGAAGAAACGTCGCAAACTTCGGGTACCGCAACTACTGTCATTCCTCGGGTAGCTCAGGGTCCCGCGAGGTACCCGACATGTTCATACATTGCACCGCTAAGAACGCCCAATGCTTTGAAACTCTAAAAGTATACGCTGGGTCAACGTCCCGCACCTGAGTTTTGTAATTTTTGGAGCTGGCAAAGTAGTCTGGAAAATCAGGGTTTAGGGTTTAGGGGTCGGTCTAGGAAACCAGGGGCTTGCGAAACGCTATGGAAGCCGAAAGCCTTGGTGGCAAATCACCCTATAGCCCTGAGACTGCCAGGTGCTTGCCAAGGCTCGCAGCAGTTTTGTGGTAGTCTCTGCCCTAAGGTTTCGGGCTGTTGGTTCGGGCTCGGGCAGCTAAGGCTGGGGCTTAAAGCACGCCACGGCTTGCCAAAGCCCTCAGGAAATCCGTGGAAAAACGCGTTCATGGGGCCTCCTCTTCCTCTTCTAAACTATGATGCCTCTCACTGCCCTCCAAATGACCGATGAGTACCATGGGCTGTGATCCACAAAGATCAAGACCCTCCCCAAGCAGCCCGATTAAGCTCCGAAGGATTCAACAGAGGGGGACTTCAAGAATTCGGGCTGTAGCGGGGCAGGGGTTTCTCATTAATCGAAGGTGTCAAGGTGCAACAGTCCGTTTTTGTGGCGGAGTTCTCGCGAAAGGGTCGACATTGGGCTACAAGAGGCCCATGCAGTGGCAATTGGCTTTAGGGTTTACTCCCTGATGCTGAGGACGGAATGGGGGCCACCACATGAGGACTACTAAGAATCGATGGCCTCATTCCGAACTCCTTCCCTACTCATTACTGAGCACTAGCCAGAGCAAATCACTTGTGACAACGTTCTCATTCTACACATATATACAAGTGCTTGTAATCCGAATTGTGACGGAACAGCCTAGAGGTTATGCATATGGTGAAGGAAATAATGTTTTGGATACGTTTATCGTTCGCATCCTGTAAGGAAAATACCCTGGCAATTTTTTCTGCTCTACGCACCGAATAAAACATGTTTGAACCCTCTCATGAGCTGATGCCCCTCCTCTTTCAGGTTGGGCTCTCGCACAAGCTTTGGTGGCTGGAAGTTGCTTGCTGCGGTGGGAAACATTTCTGACTATCACCTGCCCTTGGGAGTCCCTCCTGAATTCACGTGCCGGCCATGCAATCGGTTTTGGTACATGAGGGGTACCCCGAGAGAGGGGACTGTGGCGTTGGATCTATCTCTCGCTGCAGTCATCGTGGCCTCCTACCCCGCAGCCCTGAACTTGAAGTTCTGGGCTGGGATCATAAAATTACCTAAACCCTATACTAAATAGTAGGTTCCATATTCCTTTCCATTATCTCAATATATCCCCTTTATGACCCGCCCGAGGATCCCTTATTACAATCCCATCAATCAATAATCATTGCCCTATTCTGTACTAAGCACCAGGAAGTAAAACCCTAGACCCGAACCCTAAACCCGACGAAGTGAATCCAAAATCGCACAACTGCATTCCACGCACACTCTTTCCAAACATGTCGGCATGCTGTTGTGTCAACAGTTGCCAAGCTCACCCTGTGATAGTGGCTTTTGTGGAGAATAAGGATGAGGTTGGGGTCCTATTATATTCCTATTTTACCCTAAAGTCCCCCTAAAGTAGATAAAATGTGGCTTTGGGTATATTATAACAAGATCCCCATATACCAAATATTCTATCCACTTAAGGGGGACTATAAACCCTGATCCCACTATCACGGAGTGAGGGGTCCTCCTAAAGTATCCCCTGCCTTCCTTGTTCCAGCTACTCGTCCCCTCAGGAGACAAACCCCAAAAACACCCCAAACCTTAAACCCTAAATCCCCTAAACCCTAAATCCCCTAAACCGTAAACACCCCAAACCTTAAACCCTAAACCCTAAATACCCTAAACCGTAAACACCCCAAACCTTAAACCCTAAACCCTAAATCCCCTAAACCGTAAACACCAAACCCCTAAACCTCTCAGCCCATACACCCAAACTCCTAAGCCCTAAATCAAAACCTGTGTCCGACAAGCGGCCCCATGCTGTTCCCGGATGCCCGATGAAGCGGGACCCAGGGGCCCGATCCTGGATGAGGCTTTGGCGGTTTTGGGTTGAGGCTTAGGGTATATTATTTGTACTATTATTACTGTTATTACTATCACTACTATGCCTACTATTCTCACAATTGTGACTTACGTATATGCTATATACTATATTCATAACTATTTGGGGTTGATGTAGGGCTCATGAAGCTTGCTAGTTTCGGGTTTGGGGATTTTAGCTGCAGACACGGCTCCAGGGTGTACAAGCTTGACAGACGGGAAGAATGTGTACATGTAAATGAGAGGACCTATACGGTTTAGGCAGGGATATTTCGCTGAAATGGCCGGCATTTCATGGGCATCGCTCCTTGCTTGTAGCTTTTTCTAGCATGCCCAGCATATTGATGATTGAAAGTTATGACTACAACAAGCCGGATTTAACTCTGGGATTACCATCGCATGTTTGGCATATTCTAGCCTCGGACGGACCGAGAGGGTGGCTTGGGTTGAGAAATTAGGGCGCTATGCACGCTACCTGCTTGGGCTTAGGGGCAAGATTTTGGATAACGGAAGTATATGTTTCGAAAGATGCCGCAGGGGTGCGCGACCAATAATTTCTCATAGTGATGAAGTAGCGAGCTCCAGGAAGGTTGACCACGGCAGGGAATGACATCTTTTTCAAAGTGTGAGTAAGTGTACTGGTATTCCCATCTCCCCCCACGTGCAAGATGCCATTGGAATCACATTCATTTTCCGCATCTTGTTTTTTCTCCCGACAATCCCCCTACATCAACAACTGCCCCAAAACCCCAAACGCAAAACTGCACTGGATCTCGATCCCAGGCAACAGGCATTAAAACAAGCCCCCCGGCCCCTGCCGAAAACATGTTTGCCGGTCCCGGTGGTTGGGCTTTTGGCTTAAGGTCGACATTAATGGTATCTAGGTAAGCCTAATGACAGTAGCTCATTAGGCACCTAATACGCAGAAAAAGCCGCTGCGGCAAACGGTCATACATCGGTTCCCCTCATACATCGGTCCCTGGTTCCCAACCCATCAGTACTCCCAGGGCCCCACCAAGCAGAGGGGGCAAACTAACTCCAAACTCTTCATGACAAGCAAAAGCCTGGGGTTTATGCTTTGGAGTGGAGGGATTTGCGATTGTGCGTTCGTGTCGCAGAGGGTGTCAGCAACTGCCTAACCCCCGACGGCTCAAAGACAACTGCCCAACTCAACCCGAAAACTGAGTTCTAAGCAGGGTTCCGGGGGTGATTGCGTGTGTTTCTCGATTACCTGCAGTTCACGCAAAAACTGGGCAAAAGCTCGCGTACCTGGCTGGAACCCTGCAGAGTAGCACAGTTGTGAGTAGCACAGTTGTTGCAGCCTCAAGACCCTGCAGGCATCAGCTAGGACCAGCATGATGTGGGGGTTTCCCAAAATCAGTGGTATATTTTTGGGATCCCTCTAAGAAGGGTCGTAGTATTTGGGGGTCTATACTGGGGCCCCTTTGTCTAGGGACACTACCATGTTACTAGAGAGACATCATCTACGTACTCGTACCCTAAACCCTAATCGAATAACCCCTAAACCCCTAAACCCCCTATGAACCCTAAACCTTGAGACCCCTATATTTGTTGCCATTGAAAGTCTCGCGCCCCGCCTCGCGACCGAGCTGTGGAGGTCCAAGACCATGTCGTCAACGTGGTGGCAGCTGCAGCGACATGAGCTTAGGGCTCAGGGTTTAAGAGCTCAGGGTTTAGGGTTTAAGGGTTTAGGGTTGAACAACTGCATAGTGCTGGGAATTATAACTGGAGCTTCCTCTCTAAAGCTTCAAGTACCAACTGAAAATAGGAGCGCCATGAAGTGGGCGCCTTTTGTACGAGCTTCAAACGCTGCAACTCGCAAGTTCGGGACATCAAGTACCAAGAGAGGAGCTACAAGCACAAGCAACTTGAGACAAAGCCACCAAACCAAAAGCCAGAACCAGGCCAAAGGGTCCCTTCGGTCATCTTGTACCAACCCCACCAAACAACATCAAGCCGAATCAAGCCCCAGGGCAAGGCACTTTAGAAA